GGGGGGGGGGGGTAGAATCTACTCTCTTCTAAGAATAGAACATATATGTGCGGTGCAATTTGTGTGACGGCATCTATGCGGTGCACTTCGCCCTGCTGAAATAGAAAGTGCCAAGTCCACTGCTCGCGCAATCATCCCACCCCCGCCACTCTGTTTCCAGAGCCCATGTAGCGGCGATTGAAATGACTGCGTATCGCTGGCTGGCGCATCGCTGCGGCCGCGATTTCATCATGCGCGCGGGCGACGGGCGCGAATGGTCCGCATGGTCTGATTTGACAGGGACCGTGCCCCCCCTGCGCGCGCGCGCAAAGGAGTTCGAATTATTCCGACACGCGCGCGCGAGAGGCCCGTGTAGTCGCATCTGATGAATATGTTCATAACCAATGGTTCTTTAGGAATTCGCAAACGCGCTTGAAGACCCATATGTTTTCACACGCCCACACTCACTTACTCACACACACACACACACACGCACCACACACGCACCACACACCACACACACCACACACACCACACACGCCACACACACCACACACAACACAACACAGCACAGCACAACCCACAACACAACACAACACAACACAACACAACACAACACAACACAACACAACACAACACCACACCACACCACACAACACAACACAACACAACAGACAACACACAACACACAACACAACACACACACGCACGCACATACTGATATATATATATATATATATATATATATATATATATATATGTATATATATATGTATGTATATATATATACATAGTTTTTAATGCGATTCCGGCATGCGCTCGAGACGACGCGGGCGTGTGCACTTCGTCGTATCTGTTGCAAGGGATTCCTGTACATGGGTGATTTTCGATGAACGAGTGTACCCGCATAATACTATTTGGAACAGATGAGGAAAGGGGTGTCGAACCTGGTTTGGCTGGGATTGTACGACATCCTAGTTATACTGAGCGATGTGGCAAATAATATTATTGCACACTCCCACGGGATAGCGATAACCCCAGAGGGGGTCGACCATTATTCTTGCCAAGGAAATGGAACCTATGTTGTGCAATCAAAAGCGGCGACGAGTCAGCGACGGGGCGGCGACAGCGGCCACATAGCCGCCAGAACGGCACTCCGGTCCAGACGACGGGCGGCGACGAGACGGCGACGGGGCGGCGACGGCGGCCACATAGCCGCCAGAGCGGCACACTGGCCCAGACGACGGGTGACTGATACTTCCTCACAAGTTGTTCCAACATCGAGTTCTCGCGCAGGACCTCTTCACAGTTCAGCCACGGATCGCGCTCTCGCGCGGTACCTCTTCGCAGTGTCTTGAAACGCCGCGCCATCGACATCCAGGAATCACGCTCTTGCTTTAGCCTTCCTCGCGATTTCCTTGGGCATCGCGCTATCGCTCGAGGCTGACTTCCCCGCGATCCATGCAGGACTCAGGCTTCAGCGATCCGCCTGCTCGACCCAGGCTGCCTGGGACCGCCTTCCCGATCCGCCCATTAGGGTTTGCCCGCCCGATCCGCCCGTCTGGTTGTGCCATTTGTCTGCTGCTCCTACCCCCCTACTGCTAATCTCTCTCGTGCTTAGTCCTTCTCCCTCCTCCTTGTCCCTTCCTTCCATCCTCCCTCCTCCCCTGTTTAAAGGGCTTCGCCAAATACACGTGACAGGGAAGGGAGACATACCCCCAAGAGGGCCCGACCGAAGACGAAGAAGGCGAATATCGAGCGTTTCAAATTATACGTGTTGAATGGCACACGAGCAGATAACAGCGATCAGCCTTCAACTGATTGATGAACGTTCATTTCTAAAGAACAATGATTGTTGTTCGCCCCCCGTGCCCGTCGTGTTTAAACATGGAAGTGCTCCTCCCAGGGATCGCATCTTGTTTTTTGGCAAGGGAAGTCTTGGGCCTCATATTGGCTTGTCGGCCCCATGTTTACCACCGCAGCGGCTCCCTCCCGAATGATACTTCCTCACACGTTGCGTCAAAATCGCGTTCTCGCGCGGGACCTCCTCAAACTCTATCCAGGAATCGCGCTGTCGCAAGGTACTTTCTTGACACGCCGCACCCTCGACACTCAATAATCACGCTCTCGCTCCGGCCTGTCTTATGATTTGCTAGGGAACCGCGCTATCGCTCGACCCGGCCGCCTGGGCCTGTCTTCCCGATCCACGTGTTTTCTGTTACTAGCCTCCCTCCTGCTAATCGCTCTCGTGCTCCATCCTTCTCCCTCCCCTCACACGTTCCTTCCATCCGTCCATTCTTCTCCTGCTTTATAGGGGCTGCGCCAAATGCGCGTGGCAGGTAAGGACGGCATACTCCCAAGGGGTCCGATCGAAAACGAAGTTGGCGAGTATCCAGGGTTTGGGATCTACGTGTTGAATGGCACCCGAACAGACAAGGGCAAACACATCTTACTATTATGTTTGCTGTTGTTGTTGTTGTTGTTGTTGTTGTTGTTGTTGTTGTTGTCGTTGTCGTTGTCGTTGTCGTTGTTGTTGTTGTTGTTGCTGTTGTTGTTGTTGTTGTTATCGTCATTGCTGTTTTTTCTTCGACGCTCGCCGACACGGGCTAGTTAGGTAGAGCTCTCAGCAGAAGGCGAGGGAGCAGAAGACGCTGCATCCGCATGCGCATAAACATTTGGCGTCCCGCGTGGAGTTATTGGATCGGCGCGGCGCTCGACTCCTCTCTCCCTCGAAAATGAAAGGACAATATAAACATAATCTCTCGGAGGTGCGGGCGGATTTCTTGCACCATCCAAGAAACGCGCGCGGGCCTCAGTGTTTATGGTTTCGCCATGTTTTCCTCTGCGAACCCCGTTCCGCGCCGACTCGCTCAAGGGAGGAGTAAAAACTTAAGTCGGGCCTGTCCCTACAGGCCAATTTTGGACGAACACTTCAAAATACCCCAACAATACCCTAATAATGCTCAAACATTGTCAAGCAATAGTCCCCAATTTTTTTTTGTTGTCAATGTTTGAATATTCCCCCTGTAGAGGGACAAGCCCGACTTAAGAGTAAACGTTGACTTGAAATCGGTGATGCAGTCAACCCGTAAGTATTATACGGAGGCGCGGTGAGGATGCAAGGGCCCTGGAAGGCCTTGTCGACACTCCGCGGGTGGGGCGCGGCCAGCGAAAATGGCCAAGGATTTAAGTCGGGCCCGTCCCCCCTACAGGGGGATTTTCGGCGAAAAATGCAAAATACCCCAAACATAATCAAACAATGCTAAAAACAAATCTGGGGACTATTTTTTGAAGATCTTTTGACCATTTTGGGGCAAGTTTGGGGTTTCCTTTATTTTTCGTAGCACATCCCCTTGTAGGGGGACACGCCCGACTGCAGCCGAGGAGGACTGAGGAGGCAAGGATGCGAGGGCACCCTTGGGAATGATGCCCATCCTTACTAGGCGGGTCGACGGTACATCGTCGATGGATAAGCGGCATGTCCGCGACAGCGACGCCGCGCGTTCTGGGGCGGGGTGGGGCACTGAGACCCCGATCGGCGATGAATGGGGCGAGCGACAGCGAGACCGCGCGTTCCTGGGCGAGATGGGGCGCACAAGCTCTTATCGGCAAGGAAGTGTCTTTGCCCCTGGTCCTGCGCTTCCTGGCTCCCGGGCCATGAGTCGAGCCTCTAGCGGCCGCTCGGGAAGATTCTGGCACCTCCGAACGCCCTCGACGAGACGCAGCTGAGGAGCCTCCCAGGGCCTCGAACGCTTCCCAAACTACGCGGCGGGGAAGGGGCGCCCCCCCTAACCACCCAGATCCCCGCCGTTATGGCTTTTTCCTTCTCCATGACGTGAGCCCCTGGCGGTCTGAACCTCTTCCTCGGGACCTGCTTTTTCTTGTACCCCGAGCCGCTTCTTGACCGCCACGAGGGCCAGCGAGGGCCCCCAGAGGCCGAACACGGCCGCACTCTCTCCGTCGGCGGCGGGGCCGAGGCGATCCGCACCAGCATCGGGCTCACCTGGGGCACTGATCGGCAAAAATGGTCCGGTGTGCAGGGGATGGGGGGACAGCGAGAGGAGCGGCCTTCCCTCCTCCTCCCCCTCCCCCTCCCCCTCCTCCTCCTCCTCCTCCTCCTCCTCCTCCTCCTCCTCCTCCTCCCCTCCTCCTCCTCCCTCCCTCCCTCCCTCCCTCCCTCCCTCCCACCTCCTCCCTCCCTCCCTCCCTCCCTCCTCTCCTCCCTCCTCCTCCCTCCTCCTCCCTCCTCCTCCTCCTCCTCCTCCCTCCTCCTCCTCCTCCTCCTCCTCCTCCCTCCTCCTCCTCCTCCTCCCTCCTCCCTCCTCCTCCCTCCTCCTCCCTCCTCCTCCTCCTCCTCCTCCTCCTCCTCCTCCTCCTCCTCCTCCTCCTCCTCCTCCTCCTCCTCTCCCTGTTCCTCTCTCCGTGCCAGAGAGAGAGGCCTCGTGCCGCTCCGACTCCAGCCCTCGGGCCTTCGAGGCGTCTTTGCGCCCCGTCTCTTGAGCAGGGACCGACCGTCCCGGCATTCCCTGTAGTCATACCACGACATGTTCGTAGAACCCAAACATGTTCTGAGAACAGAAACATTGTTCCTAGAACGTAAACCCGAACCGCAAAAGGTTCTCAGAACATCGTTTGGTGGGGCTATATAGGCGAGCCAGGACGCTTCGCCACTGCCTGAGCCTCGTGGCGCGACGGGGGGTCCGGGCACCTCTCGGGTCGGGCGAAAGGGGGGGATAGCAAAGCGGGGGTTTGAGAATCAGCTCACGTAGCTGATTTTCCCGGCGCCTCCCGGCGCCGGAGGCGGCCATGTATCGAGGAGTGGGCCCCTCGGTGGGGCCGAAACCAGCTGCATGCGGCAAATTTCGTACCCCCCCTCTTCGTACTCCCCTTTCCCATATATTTTCTAGGGAATCGACGATTCATGGTGTCTGTGTGTGTGTTTCCTTCCCTCCTGGTATAGGCGGCCAGGACGCTTCGCCACTGCCTGAGCCTCGTGGCACGACGACGGGGGCTCCGGGCACCTCGTGCCGCTCCGCCTCCAGCCGCCCCCACTCGAACTGCTCCGCGCACGCCACGCGCACGCCGTCCTCCCCGCCCGAGGCCCACACGCCGCGCCGGCGTAGGGCCTCCGCGGGCGGCTCCAGCCACACCGTGGCGAGCGTGCGCCCGCTGGTGAGGCCCGCGATGGACTGGGCGCCGGCGCTCGGCAGCAGCCTCTCGGCGTGGCTTCGTCCCCCTCCTTTTCCTCCTCCTCCTCCTCCTCCTCCTCCTCCTCCTCCTCCTCCTCTTATTCCTCCTCCTCCTCCTCCTCCTCCTCTCTTACTCCTTCCTCCTCCTCTCCTCCTCCTCCTCCTCCTCCTCCTCCTCCTCCTCCTCCTCTTGTTCCTCCTCCTCCTCCTGGGACAGCCAAAAGATACGGGGGGGGGCAAATGCACCTTTCGTGCCCCGTTTGGATCTCAGCCTCTTTAGGGTTAAGTTGGGCATGTCCTCACTGCATGCGGATCTTGGCAGAAAGATCAAGAACGGCCAAACATCATCCTGGCGAGGGACCCAACCATATGCAGTTGTGCCTACCGCAATTGTAAACATCTTCTTCGGTGACGATCCCTATGGGGCCACGAACCGTGCGAGGGGTGTGCCGACATATGTGGCGGGGTACACAACACGAACGGAAACGATAGACCTGAGCACGGGGGACTGAGCGCGGGTGAGACTGAGCGCGAGCGCGTCTCATTGTGATTGAGTCTGCGTGAGAGTAAGTCTATGCGCATGAATGCGAGCATGGATACGCCTAGTGAAAATGCATATGACTGTGAATGCAAGGCGTGGCGGGGGCCTAACGGGCCACGAAGCGTGTGAGGGTCGTACTGGGTGTGGCGGACGCATGCGGGCATCCCCACTGGGGCCGCAAGTGGAACTAACTCCCTATGGGGCCACGATGCACTGTACTGGGTGTGGCGGACGCATGCGGACAACCCCACTGGGGCCTTCGGTGGAGCTCCCTATAAGGCCACGGAACGCTGTGCTGGGCGTGGCGGACGCATTTGGCCACCCCAACTTGGGGCCTTGGGTGGAGCTCCCTTCGGGGCCACGAAGCGCTGTACTGGGTGCGGCGGACGCATGTGGCCACCCACACTGGGGCCTTGGGTGGAGCTCCCTATGGAGCCACGATGCGCTGTACTGGGTGCGGCGGACGCATGTGGCCACCCACACCGGGGCCTTGGGTGGAGCTTCCTCTGGGGCCACGATACGCTGTACTGGGTGTGGCGGACGCATGTGGCCATCTCCACTGGGCTTTCGGTGGAACTCCCCATGGGACCACGAAGCGCTGTACTGGGTGTGGCGGACGCATGTGGCCACCCCCACTGGGGCCTTATGTGGAACTCGCTATAAGGTCACGAAACGTGTGAGGGGTGTGCCGACATGGGTGTGGCGGACGCATGTGGCCACCCCCAGTGGGGCCTTAGGTGGAGCTCCCTATGGGGCCACGAAGCGCCGTACTGGATGTGGCGGACGCATGTGGCCGCCCCCACTGGGCCTAGAATGCAGCTCCCTATGGGGCCACCCCCAGTGGGGCCTTGGATGGAACTCCTTATGGGGCCACGAAGCGCTGTACTGGGTGTGGCGGGCGCATGTGGCCACCCCCACTGGGGCCTTGGGTGGAGCTCTCCATGGGGCCACGAAGCGCTGTACTGGGTGTAGCGGACGTATGTGGCCACCTCCACTGGGGCCTTGGGTGGGGCTCCCTATGGGGCCACGAAGCGCTGTTCTGGGTGTGGCGGACGCATGTGGCCAGCCCCAGTGGGGCCTTAGGTGGAGCTCCCTATGGGGTCACGAAACGCTGTACTGGGTGTGGCGGACGCATGTGGCCACCCACACCGGGGCCTTGTGTGGAGCTCCCTATGGAGCCACGATGCGCTGTACTGGGTGCGGCGGACGCACGTGGCCACCCACACCGGGGCCTTGGGTGGAGTCCCCTATGGGGCCACGAAGCGCTGTACTGGGTGTGGCGGACGCATGTGGCCACCCCCAGTGGGGCCTTAGGTGGAGCTCCCTATGGGGCCACGAAGCGCTGTACTGGGTGTGGCGGACGCATGTGGCCACCCCCACTGGGGCCTTAGGTGGAGCTCCTTATGGGGTCACGAAGCGCTGTACTGGGTCGGCGAAACGCAGGGAGGAGGGAGGAGGGGGAGGGGGAGGAGGGAGGAGGGCAGCGGGAGGAAGGAGACGCGGGGACCGTCTCTTCAAAACGAGGACCCAGCACCACAGGATGGCAAGGATAGTCGAACAAAAATGGATCAATCGTTCCTAGACTACTTTTTAAAGCTATTGTTACTTTTCTTCCTGTAGAGGGACATGCGCAAGAGCTGTACCCTTCTTCCCCACAGTCATCGCCCCCCCCCCACATTGCGCAATGTCCGAGCCTCCCGCCGTCTGCGCGCAGCCGGGCGAGCAGGTGTAGCAGCCTGTCCGGTGGGGCGAAGCGCGGGGGGTGTAGCGGAGGCCCTGAAGCCGTGGCGTCACAACTTTGTTGCGCAGCTGGCGGTTTTGCCCTGTGTCGGGCCCCGGGCGATCACATATCGATCCGACATGGAAAACGATGCAGAGAGATGGGGTCCGTGGCCCTGGCCACGATCTTCTGCGACGCTGCATTTTTCGCGTGACGTCAGATCTCAATGTGTGGTGGGGGGGGGAGCGTCCATGCGGGGGTGGCGGAAGGTGTCCCTGGCCCTAGGTGCCCCCCAAACGTTTCTCTCCATTTCGAAGCCCCTGGGGCCTTGTGGGCCTCGTGGGGGGTGCTCTGGAGGCCCTGGGGGCCTCCTTGGAAATTCGAAAACGGGGTGTTCTGTGAGTCTCCTCGGGGGGAACAAATTCAACATGTGGGTGGGCCCCCTCTTGTCGTCGACGCCGTCGTAAACGTATCGCTGTACCACGAATCCGTCGTCGAAGTGTTTATAATGCGAGCCCGCTGGAAAACATATTCAACATGTAAATCGGCCACACAAGAAATACATGAGTACACGCGCTACAAGCAAACTTGTAAACCGCCACAGAAGGAACCAATAGGTAAACCAACCACATAAAGACTCAACTTACAAATCCGCCACAAACATAACCAAGTAGTGAATCAACCACACAAAATATCAATTTGCAAATCAATTTTGCAAAACGAATCCTATTTAAACCCTCGACAAAAATATAATTGAAATCCCCGGCTTTAAGAATCCGGTTTAAATTCTAAAAGGAATCCTGTTGATATCCTCTACAGCAAGGAATCGGGTTAAAATCTTTTACACAAGGGACCCTATTGAAATCTCCAACAAAAAGAATCCTTGTGGAATCCGCAACGAAAGACTTCTAGTGGAATCCTTTGCGAAAGGGATCCCATTGAAATTATTTCCAACAAGAATCCGGTTTACATTCGTTACAAAAAGGATTCCATTGAAATCCTGGACAAAAAGAATACCATTGGAATCCGCAGCGCAACGAACTCTATTGAACTCCCCTACGCATGGAATCTTCTTCATTGGAATTCCATCCGGATATGTTTCCCCACGCTTCCAATTTTTAGAAGCATTTAGAACACAACTGCGTATTTTATCACACCGAAAAAAAACAAGTGTCGCGTGTGATTCCCTCAGAATTTTGAAGCCCAATGATTTCGGCTGGCGTGCGTTTCCAAAAAGTATCAAGTAAAGCTTGTTTTTTTGATTTACATCCAATGGACAAGTTTTGCGAACATATACGCCAGCCCGAACCATTGGAACTTAACATCATGAAGGAGTCACCGGCGAAACTTGGTTTTTCGACTACAGCAACTAAGCGTATTTTGAAACAGTCGGAAAATCTGACAGATGAGGGAAAAGAGATTCTGGTATAATTCTGATGAGGCCCACCACATAAAAGGAGACGTGTTGAACTCTCTACACAAAGGAATCCGATTGAAATCACCAGCGCAAGAAATTCGATCGAAGTTCTTTATAACAAGGAATATTACTAATTCTTATAGACACTACATTCTTTCGAAACCGTCGGCGAAAAAGGAATATGGTCTAAACCCTCTACATAAGGAATCGTATTGAAATCCTTTACAAGAGGATGCGTCTTGGAATCTTTTGTTCAAGGAGCCCTACATAATCCCACCAGAACCTTCTACAATCGGCAGATTGTTGAAATTTCGTGCAAAAAGGAGACGTCTTGAAATCCCTCAACCAGAAATCAGATTGAAACCTTGTTCAAACAAAATTCTACCTGAATCCTCGGCAGAAGAATCCTACTGGAACCGTGCCCCTTTTACAGGAGGACTCCGATTCAATGACGCAATGAAACCCTTCCCAAAAGGAATCCAAGTGAAACCCCCATGCAACAAGGAATGATATTGACATCTTCCACAACATGAATATCATTGGAATCCTCTATACAAGGAGCGCTATTGCAGTCCTTCAAAAGAAAAATAACTCCATTGAAACCCCCTGGAACCAATTTTTGTTGAGACCCTCCATTGTATGTCACCACGAACGTTTCTTTTTTAAATCGTGCAATCCTTCTGCTTTTCCGCTGCAGACGCATGCGTTCGATCACCCGCGACAGTGGTACTCCTCTGCCGCCGCCGCTGCCTTTCATTTGCTAGGGGCCGAGCGCCACCACTCACTCCTACAGCGGGTGTCAGCAATGATGCTACACCGCCACTGTCGCTAGAACCATTGCACCACCGCCAGCGGTACTCAACCGCCACCGCCGCTGCCCGTTCTGGGTCAGGAATGGAGATGGTGGCGGCTTTGCGCATCCTTTCAATACCACAGACGCCTGCACCTGTCGGCACTTATAGGGCGGATGCGACCGCCGCCAACATAATCCACCAACCCTCTGGGCGCAGGTGGTCTAGGGCGTTTCCCTTTCCAACCTCGTGCCTTTCCGTGCTCGGGAGGTTTACCTCCCCCCCCTCCCTGCGTTTGGACGCGGGGGGGGGGGGGGGGGGGGGGACCCATGGCAGCGTCCAAGATGGCCCAAGATGGCTCCAAGAGGGCCTCCGAGAGCGCAAGCTGGCCTCCAAGATGGCCCAATATAGCGGTAGACGGATCAAGATAGCCTCCGACACGCGTCCAAGAGGCCTCAAGACGGCCCCAAGACGGTTTCAACTTCCCTCCGAAGCCTCCAAGGGCACCCCCAAGAGGCCAACATCTTTCAACAACCGTACGAACATCACTGTTTTTTGCCTTCTCGTTTTTTCGCATCCGAAGGGCTCTTGGGGCCTCAATATGGCCCCAAGATGGCCCAAGGCAGCCCAAGAGGGGCCCAAAAGAGCCCCAAGACGGCCCCAAGAGCGCCCAAGAGCGCTCCAAGAGCGGGCCAAGAGGGTCCCAAGACGGCATTTTTGAGCCTCCGAAGGGGGGGGGGGAGAATTGAGCCCTCCCCCCCCCTCCCCCACTTCAGCCATAAGGACCAACACGGCCCCGAGAGGCCCCTCAAGCACACCAAAAGAGCCCCAAGAAGGTCCCCAGACCCCCCCCAAAGAGCCTCAAGAGGGCCCCAAGACGCCCCAAAAGAGCCCCAAGAAGCCCCATGAAGGCCCTAAGAGAACCTCAGGAGAGCCCCAAGAAAAAGCCCCAGGAGGCCCCAAGAGGGGCCCAATATAATCCCAAGAGAGCCCCAAAATGCCTCCAAGTTTCGGAACGCACGCGAGCTTAAAACGCACATCAGCTCAACAGCCATTACGAGGCATCGAAACACCCCTCACCCCTCATCGAAGCACCATCGTAGCTTGCACTGATTTCCATCTTGAACTTCAATGCGGGAAGCTATTTGTGATCCTTGTTCTCCCGAAAACGGCCGCGCGACTGCATGCGTCCTGCCGCCCCTGATTCACCAACTCCCCTGCTGATCGTTTCTGGATGGGCTGGCGGGGGTACTTTTTAACCGATTTTTTTTTACTCGGCGGCTCCAAGGAAAACCCCAGGGAGCGGTCACAACGTCCGGGCCACGGCGCATTGTAAATTGGCGATCCAGCCGCCACTGTAGGCAGCGGACCGCACCTGCAAGCGAGCTCGCAGTTGCACATGCACAGTACACGTACTAAATTAGAGGCAGCTGAGTGTCGCCAAGGCGGCGCCAACACAGAAAACCGGGCGAAGTGAGCGAACAGAGACACTAGGCAGCACCCTGTGTGGTGGTGGAGCCAAGGCCAAGCGCTACGCACTTACAAGCACCACGGCAGGGTGGAGGGCTGGTGGGAAAACCGGGCGAAGTGAGCGAGCAGAGACACTAGGCAGCACCCTGTGTGGTGGTGGAGCCAGGGCCAAGCGCTACGTACTTACAAGCACCACGGCTGGGTGGACCACGTGAAATGCCATCAGAAAAGATCACTGAAGTGCTTCGGCGAAGGACCACCTGAGGCTAACGCCAGCGTGCGCACACGGAAAGCAACACAACCACTGCGGCGAAATAACGGTGTGCAGTTGACGACAGCAACGCAGACTGCACTGCGAAAAGAGGGGCGACTGCAACAGCGGGGAGCTGATCACTCACTGCATGGCCGCCCCCAGAATGCCGAGCCAGGCGTAGCCCTGTGTATGGTGACAACAGCGCCCAGTCGCTGCAACGGGGCCAGCGTGCTGCCTCGCCGAACGTGTCGCGCGGGATAGCAGGAAGCCAGGTGCCAGCGCGCTGATGGCCAGGGCTGCGTTGAGAACGACCAAGTGGCTGGCCCGACCAACCAGTGCGTCGTCGCACTCGACCGAGGAAGTGGCTGAACTGAGCGCCAGCCAGCAATGTCAACCACGGGCATGTGAACGAGAAAGCCATCTCCAGCCAGTAGCCAGTGTAAAACACCGTACCCGACTCACGCAGTTCGGGGGCGCTACGGTGCGTGCGCTGGCAAGGTGGTGGCCTGGGCTGCAAGTTGCGTCATGCCGCGCGCCGCGACCGGACCGCGGAAGGCTGAACCACTCACAGCGGGCACGCAAACTAGCCATATCCAAGCCGCGGCCACAGCCGCGCCTCCCACCGTGTCACCAGAGCGGGGGCAAGATGCCAGCGCCTTGAAGGTAGAGCGGTGGCGTCGAGCGGTAGAGCTGCAGGTGAGTAGGCTGCCTTGCACGCGCGCGTACCCGCTACCTGGGATGGGCGGATGGGCCGGCGACGAGAGACAGGCACACCTCAGGGCCATAGCATGCATCCGGGCAGAGAGGTGGGGGGCGCAGCCGAAAGCCGCATAACTTGTGAATAGGAGGGGGAGGAGGAGAAGGAGGTGGCCGAACGGCGGAACGGCCACGGTCGCAGGGGGTGCGGACAGGCAGGGGGGGTAATCCTGCCTGTTCCTCAGCGACTGCCGTCAACCTTGCCAGTGGGGGGGCGCAGCCGATAGCCGCACAGACGTGGCGAAAGTCTGACGCGATAGGGGCGCAGCCGAAAGCCGCATCATGCGGATTCCACACTGCCGAACGTCCAAGTACAGCACAAGGTGGCG